CATGTGCCAGAGATTTCTGTAGGTCTTTAGCTGACACTCTGGGATTCTTCTTTACCTCATGCAGCATTCTGCGCTGTGCTCTTGCAGTCATTTTTACAGGACGACCGCGCCTAGGGAGAGTAGCAACAGTGTTAAACTTTCTCCATTTGTAGACAGTCTGTCTTACCGTGGACACATGAACATCAAGGCTTTTTGGAGATACTTTTGTAACCCTTTCCAGCTTCATGCAAGTCAACAATCCTTGATCGTAGGTCTTCTGAGAGCTCTTTTCTGCGAGGCATGGTTCACATCAGACAGTGCTTCTTGAAACCAGTAAAACCCAAAACAGGTGTGTGTTTTTCAAGGGCAGGACAGCTGTCAGCAACACATCCAATATCATCACACTGATTGGAGTCAAGGTTGGCTCACTCCTGGCTCCAATTAGCTCTGGGAGAAGTCATTAAGCTAGGGCCTCACATACATACTTTTTCCTCCCTGCACTGTGAATGTTTACATGTTATGTGCAATAAACCATGGCAAATCATAAAGTTTGTGTAGTATTATGTTTATCAGCAGACTGTGTTCCTCTATTGTTGTGACTTAGATGATGTTCAGAGCACATTTTATGCCCAATTCATGCAAAACTCCACGTAATCCCAAGGGGTTCACATACTTTTTCTTGCAACTGTATGTATATATATATATATGTGTGTGTGTGTGTGTGTGTTGTATATATATATTGGAATTTACGTCGCTTTTACTTTCTGACTGCCTATCACATTTCTTGAGGTGCTATAATGCCAGGGAAGTACAACCCCCCCAAATGACCCCTTTCTGGGAAGTAGATACCACAAGGATTTTTGCAGAGAGATGTTGAGTCCATAGAACATTTTTTTTTTTTTCTACAAATTTTTTGAATATTACTCTTCTCTTTTTTGTTTTTTTTTTTTGTTTTTTTATTTACACATAGTTGTCACTTTAATGATATATTGATCATGCATGCCATGGGTATATGTGAAAAAAACACCCCAAAATATATTCTGCTACTTCTTCCGAGTATGGGGATACCACATGTGAGAGACTTTTTGGCGGCCTAGCTACATACAAGCCTCCAAAATCCAATGACCACCTCCAGGCTTTCAAAGGGCATATTTCCTCAAATCATTTCCCCACTACCTATCACAGTTTTGGAGGCTCTAAAATGCTAGGATTGTGCAAACCCCCCCCCCCCCCCCCCCCCAATCCCATTTTTTTTTTGAAAGTAGACACCCCAAGGAATTTGATAAGAGGCATGGTCAGTATTTTACAGATATCATTTTTGTCACAGGGTTTTTAAAATAAAAAATAGATGTTTTGTTTTCCAAAAACGTGGCGACAAATGAGATCTGCAAAACACTCACTATGCCTTAGTAAATACCTTGGAGTGTCTACTTTCCAAAAAGGGGTCATTTGGAGGGGTTGCTTCTACTATCCTGGCATTTCAGGGCCAGCATTAGAAGCTTATGCCACACATCACCCACTCTTGAAGACCAAGCCTTTTCTGACACTTCTTGTTCACATGAAAAAACGACTCTTTTGCTAGAAAATTACTTTGAACCCCCAAACATTATATATATTTTTTTTAAAGCAGAGGCCCTAGAGAATAAAACAGTGGTTGTTGAAATTTTTATGTCACACAGCATTTGCGCAGCAATTTTTCAAACGCAAATCTTTTGGGAAAAATACACTTTTTAGAATATTAATGCACAAAAACACAATATATTGCCCAATTATTTGATAACAGATATTACGCTGAGTAAATAGATACCAAACATGACATGCTTTAAAATTGCGCATGCCTGTGCAATGGCAACAAAGTACATACATTTTTATTATCGATAGGCGACACTTTAACCTCCTTGGCGGTGTTCCCGAGTGTAGCTCGGGGTAGAATTTCTATACCAAGAACGGTAACCCCGAGCTACACTCGGGCTTACCATGCAGCGTTCTCTGGGGGTCCCTGCAGCACTTACCTTGTCCTTCGCTCCCACGATGGGTCCCCTGCAGCGTCCCCGTCCATCTCCTCCGGCGGATGCCGGCATCTGGCTTCCGTGTTCCGGTCCCCGTGACGTCGGAACGTTCGGGCGGCGGAACCGGCGGGAAATTTGAAATTTTTAAAAAATGACATTTTTGCTGTCATTGCTGTTTCACTGCATTTCACATACATTTTGTCCCCACTGCTTTGTCCTGTGCCCTGCCTGCATTTTGACTGTTCTTTCTGCCTGGAAACTTCCATGGCGGCCAAAAAGCATCCCTTTACGTCAAAAGCGGTTTTAGAACAGTGATAGTAAATCAGAACCACTTGCAGAATTGAGTGATAATGATTCGTGGGGAAATTCGTCATCAGACACTGAAAACGATTTTGCGACTTTGCTCAGCGATGTGCGAATTTGCCTCTGTATTTCAAATTTCAGTGTTTTTGGTTTGATTATATTATTGAATTAAATTTATTATTATTATATTATTATTTTTTATGATTATTTATTAAATTATAATTTATGATTTCGTGTTTCAAGTTTTATCATATCCGGAATGTTTAATGGACTCTTTTTCGGATAGATTTCAGTGAGTTATTCCTAAAAATTACAGCCTACAATTAAAAACTACATATTTCCATGCAAAAAAATGGTACCGCTTTCAGCACAAAATTCCTGACATGATCATACCGCCAGGGAGGTTAAAAGCCTTTACAGCTCACCAGTTTGTATTTACACAGGAGGTATAGTGCTATAATTACTGCCCTTGATCTGATGCTCGAGGCGATACCTCACATGGATGGTGCAACTGCTGTTTACATACCGACACAGGGTCAGCGATTGCGCATGCAGGTGTGCGTGCTGGGAGGCAAGAGTGTTTCGGTTTTGGTTTTTGTTTTGTTTTGTTTTTTTTTTTTTTTTCTTTAGTTATTTAGATTTTTTTTTTCTTATTATACTGTCTTTTTTTTTTTTTTTTTAATTTTTATCACTTTTAATGCTATCACAGGGAATGCAAATATCCTCTATGACTTCAATGGGCATTGTCATATATTCTTTTTTGAGAAATCTTGGGTCTATCAAACTCTAGATATCTCCTCTGCCCTTACATTATCTAATCTCACCAAGATCGTTGTGATCAGATGCTTTCCCAACTTACAAATGGCACTGTTTATATCCTGAAAAACTGAAGTGATGAAATGCTCATAGCTTCCAGTCTCTTGGACTATAGAGATGATTGGAGCCATTCTGGTCTCTGATCAGCTCTATGGTCAGCCAGTGGATCTGCCAGCTGCATTCTCGGATTCCCCTGTGGGACAGGAGAGCCCAAGAAAACTGTGGAAGGCAGCAGGAAGGTGGGGCGGTGTCTCTTCCTGCTGCTCGAAAAAAAAACAATTCGGCAGCTAATTGGCCAATAGGATTTACATGAAAGCTGACCACCAGCTGAAAAAAACGGTACCAGAATGATGCCTGTAGCTGCAGGCATCATCCTGGTATAACCACTCAAAAGTCCAGCGACGTTCCAGTACATTGCTGGTCCATGTTGGGCATATATGTAACAGCAGAGACACGGGCATACCATGAATTGGCTCTGTGGACCAATATGACTGCAATTCATTCTTTTCTGTAATGCCCATGTTGAGGGTTAGACCCCAAAGAGTTTTAAATTCAGAAACATTGTGATAGGTTTCCATGCGAATTGTCTAGCAAGAGCTGAATTTGGGTGTGCGGTCATGTATTGTTGTGCGTATAAATTGCCTTGGCCCACAATGAATTGGTACAAATCTTCCATGAAAAACAGCGGAAGGGCTAAACGCTAGTGCTGGCAGCTAACGGGGCAGATCCTGCTAACTCTGCGTTTTTGGGGACACTATACAAAGGAGGCACTAGTATAGTTTGTTCATGATGAATATATTGATCCGTACAAACACTAAACTAGTAATGGGGTTGATCAGCGACCTATAGTGTGCGGGCAATCTAACGCTAGCTGACCCTGACTGGGCAGGATGCTTACTGACCCTGATGCTATCTGATGTCACTAGTGGCAGGAATTCAGTGATCAGTGAAAAATTCTATATGCTGACACTGTACTAATGGCACTGGTTGGGTTACGTTGTGATCAAAGGGTTAATAAGGGCGATCAAAGTGTTAGATGTGCTAATCTAACGTGTGTAAAATGTAGTGGTGCTTTTACTTGGTGCGGTGTTCTCCCTTCTCTCCCTGGACCAATGGGTGGGGGGGGGGGGGGGCAGCAGGGTGCACAGGTGCATTCATAGCCCAAAATAGGAAGCGATGCAAGATTACGTCGCTTTGCCAAGAGCTGCCGCTCGCCCGCAAAATGCAGGTAAGCGGTTGGCAAGTAGCAGGGAAAGAAAAAAAATTATTTTTTTTTAAAAACTTTTTTTTTTTTTTTTTATACTTTTTATCAGAATAGTACAATGTTACCATAGTAACATTGTACTACTTTGGGGGGGGAGGGGTGATCAGGGTTTTTTTTTTTTTTTTCACACCAGCTGGAGCTGGTCATATGGTACAGGGTGCTGTGATTGTCCCCATGTATCATGTAACATCTGTGGGCCAATCACAGCTCACTAAGAAGAGAAGCAGAGCTGTTATGAATGAAATTGATTCATAACAGCTTTGCTTGCATAGTGATCATGTGATCGCATAGCGATCACATGATCGCCGAGTTCCATTCACCGGGATCTTAATTCCACTGGACACAGCAGACGCGAGGGGGGGAGCGCTGTGTTCGTGTTAGTACAGCCAGAGCAACGTATGCTTTGCCTGTAGCTGCTGCTCTGCCGCAGTACATTGTGGGCGGGCAGGAAGCGGTTAAAGGGCAGGAAAACAAAAGGAAAGCCTAAATGGTCATAAACATGATATATCTCTTCAGCCCATTATGTTGAGGTGTTCCTCCTCTATCCTTGTAACAAATCAGGAGAGAAGAATTGTATGTTTTGGCTACAATTTTAGAACAGTGTGTGAGCAGTCATCTTTTTGTTTTAGGATAACGACACATGTGAAGAATGGGAGCGTCACGAAGCTTTACATGAGGATGTCACGTCACAGGAGCGCTGCAAGGAACGCTTGTTTGAGGAGGAAATTGAACTGAAATGGGAGAAGGGTGGATCAGGACTGGTGTTCTACACAGATGCTCAGTTGTGGCAAGAACAAGAAGGGGGTAAATACTGATCTGTGAAAAATTACAGATTTAAGAAATTGAGCAGACATTTTAAAGTGCTTTTCTTTCACGGTCTTTACATGTTTTTTTGCCTTTTTAAAACAACATCTTTTCATTTCTTTACCAGATTTTGATGAACAAACTGCTGATGACTGGGATGTAGACATGAGTGAATATTATGAACCTGGTGCTGGAGATAAGGATGCCAAAGATTATTTAAAGATGCGGTCAGAATCTAGAAGGCGAGATGGACTGTATGATGATGCAAAAGAGAAAAAAAATGGCCTTGGCTGTTTTGAGCAACATACAAAGGTTTGTCTTGTTATTATACAAGGTTAAACTACCAAAGTTATAGAACTTATAATTCTAGGGTATTTCCTACAGCAAAACAACTGGCACATGTACCAGTTTAACAATGCTTCCAATGTCCACATATCCACTAAAAATAATTTTACTAGATGTTTTGTTTTTTAGGCTTTGAAAAAATTAAAATCTATTTACAATAACTGGATAAATCCGTAGAACCCATTAGTAAAATAAAATTGAGCTGGTGCCTACTTGGGTTTTTTTTTTTTCTTGTTAATATAGGTTGATTTAGTGGCTCTGTATTTTACATGATTGCTGTTATATACATACAGTTGGTAATAGTTTTGTACCATTTTAAAGAAAGCATGAGTGATGACTTAGAACACAAAATGGATGACACAATCTCCATAGTATATAGTCACGAACAATACTTTGACGCTGTCAAACTTGATATTTCAAACTGCTTTATTTAAAATTGAGGACTAGGAGAATCATAGTAGGAGGGGAAATGTCAGAATCTGCAGCCTCCCCAAATTCATCAAATATCTTAACTTTACTGTGACTGCCTTACTGCAAGAGCTTATCCTGGAAATTCTGGTGGAAAGACAGCAATTCAGCTGTATCCATAGAGTCCTGGGCCCTAAAAGAGCAGATGGTCCTCCCTGGGTGATATCCTAGTGAAACCCACCTATTACAAAACCAATGAGGCTATTATACAAGCAGCCTGGTCTAAAAAACTTAAGATTTTACTCTCAAATACTAAATCTTCACTGACCTGGCTCCACAGACCTTGTTAAATCAGATCTCGAACCATATATACAAATCCTGCAAAACTACAATATCAAGTATCGATGGGGCTTCCCTCTCAAACTGTTTTTTTTTTTGTTTTGTTTTTTTGTTTGTTTTTTTTACATGAGTCATCCATACTCTCTCTTCCCTGGATGAGGCACAGAAAGTCCTTTTGAACAATTGATCTTCCTACCCTTCCCACACTTTATCCCCTACCCCCTCCTCCTCCCATCACTCCCTTTCCTATCCCTTAGGCGCTTGTTATATCAACCACACATCAGGATGGTCCTTGTGACCCTCACATTCTCGTAGTGCTTCAGTGCGCCACCAGTGCTTTTTAAATTGTGTTCTCTCTGCTATAACTTTTTCTGTGTATGGCATTTCACAAAAATACCCCCTTCACATGTTCCCTCAAACTCGCTGACCTTACCTATCTGGTAGATTGTTAGAGTTAGGGATTACATGTACTACTCAGCGCCTTCATAGAAATAGACCATTTCCTTGTTCCTTAGTCTTTCCTTCCTGATATTCTCAGTCCTGAAATAGAACTAAACCCATAGAATTTAAGTTTCAGAAACCATTCCCAACATGTGCTACTAATGGTAATTGTTGCAGTTGCTTGTGCCCTCACCCAAACTGTCAAACCATCAAATGGCTGGTCTTATATCTGATCACATGTGTAGCATCATGGTAGGTGAAAATCAAAGGCTAAGATGGCAGCTTCTGTGGTTGTAAATGATAGGATGGTTTAGTTCCACTTTAAGATCCTATCTATGCTGTAGTCCAATCTCCCACTTCTACTTTACTTAAAATCCATGACCTCGGCCCCGCAGCAATAAGCTTGGCATTTAAATTCCTGTTTATCTTTTAAGGATACAGTTGATGCAATCCATACTTCCCTTTCTGTGAAGATTTTGTGGAAAGCCCATAAAGCCACAATCTGGGGGGCAGTTATTCAAATTCCTACACGCAAAAGAAAAGAGATTCTAAAATCGCCCACTATCCTCTCACCTTGTCCAACTAGAGATTCAAATCACTCCAGACCGCATCTGCAAAAACATATAGAAACAGCCAGAGCAGAAGTGATTCTTCTGAATGATGGGACACAAAACAATTGCAATGGACTTGGTAAACATTTTACACCTGTGCTACCAAGCCAGGTCCAATGCTAGCGAACGTATTTAACACCTTCCCATCTGGCCTATAGCAGATTGACGGCCGGGAGGGACACTCCTGTCGAAAGGAGCCGCTCACGGGGCCGCAGAGCGGCAAGATCTTGCACACTTGCCCGTTGCCAGAGTCATGTGACTGTTGTGATTAATCACAGCAGATCACATGTCAATTGTATACAATGGATGACTTCCTGTCAAGCCATCCATTGTGTACAATTGTGGTGTTAGCTGTGATTGGTCAAAGTAGTCACATGGTACAGACAGGGCCAATCACAGCCCGTCTGTATCGTGATGAGCTTTGCCTAATCACAACAAAAGACTGAATCCGTTTCATTTAGTAACAATGATTGCAAATATCAATGAAATACATTGGTATTCGCAATCATAACGTGTAAACAAAAACAAAAAAAAAACCTGATCACTTGCCCAGAGTAGTTCAATGTTACTATGGTAACATTGTATTGCTTTGACAGTGTATTGGGGGGGGAAAAAAAAAAGTAAAAATAATGTGATAAAAAAAAAAATAAACATTTGAAAATAAGAAAAAAAAATTTTTTAATTTACATACTGTCACCACTCAGTGTCCCTGATCACTGCCACACCAGTTATATAATAACGCTGTACTGGACTGATGACAATGTTTTTATTTTTTTTTGTTTTTAATTTCTACATTTTCCAAAATATTGTAACAAAAAATTACAACCTCTAAACAAAAAACTCACCATGCTGCTTGCTAAATACCTTGGACTGTCTATTTTCCAAAAATGGGTAATTTGGGGGGTATTTGCACTATCCTGGCATTTTCAGGTCCCCAAATCCACAATCTTAGAAAATTAGAATATTACATGCAATCAATAAAACAAGGATTGTACATAGAACAATATCGGACCTCTGAAAAGTATACACATGCATATGTACTCAGTACTTGGTTTGGGCCCCTTTTGCAGCAATTACTGCCTCAATGCGGCGTGGCATGGAAGCTATCAGCCTGTGGCACTGCTGAGGTGTTATGGAAGACCAGGATGCTTCAATAGCGGCTTCAGCTCTTCTGCATTGTTCGGTCTCATGTCTCTCATCTTTCTCTTGACAATGCCCCATAGATTCTCTATGGGGTTCAGGTCAGGCGAGTTTGTTGGCCAATCAAGCACAGTAATCCCACAGTCATTGAACCAGGTTTTGGTGCTTTTGGCAGTGTGGGCAAGTGCCAAGTCCTGCTGGAAAATGAAGTCAGCATCCCCATAAAGCTTGTCTGCGGAAGGAAGCATGAAGTGCTCCAAAATCTCCTGGTAGACGGCTGTGTTGACCCTGGACTTAATGAAGCACAGTGGATCAACACCAGCAGATGACATGGCTCCCCAAATCAACACAGACTGTGGAAACTTCACACTGGACTTCAAGCATCTTGCAGTGTGTGCCTCTCCATTCTTCCTCCATACTCTGGGTCCTTGGTTTCCAAATGAGATGCAAACGTTGCTCTCATCAGAAAAGAGGACTTTGGACCACTGAGCAACAGACCAGGTCTGTTTTTATTTAGCCCAGGTAAGATGCTTCTGATGTTGTTTGTTCAAGAGCGGCTTGACAAGAGGAATACGACATTTGAAGCCCATGTCCAGGATCCGTCTGTGTGTGGTGGCTCTTGATGCACTGACTCCAGCCTCAGTCCACTCCTTGTGAAAGTCCCCAACATTTTTGAATGGCTTTTTCCTGACCATTCTCTCCAGGCTGCGGTCATCCCTGCTGCTTGTGCACCTTTTTCTTCCACACTTTTCCCTTCCACATAACTTTTCTATTAATGTGCTTTGATACAGCACTTTGGGAACATCCAACTTCTTTTGCAATTACCTTTTGCGGCTTTCCCTCCTTACGGAGGGTGTCAATGATGGTTTTCTGCACAACTGTCAGGTCAGCAGTCTTTCTCATGATTGTGATTCCTACTGAACCAGACTGAGAGACCATTTAAAGGCTCAGGAACCCTTTGCAGGTGTTATGGCTTAATTAGCTGATTAGAGTGGGACACGTTGAGCCTAGAATATTGCACCTTTTCGCAATATTCTAATTTTCTGAGATTGTGAATTTGGGGTTTTCATGAGCTGTAAGCCATAATCATCACAATTATGACACATCACAGCTTGAACTATCTTGCTTTGCATATAATGAGTCTATCTCCTATAATATATATATATATATATATATATATATATATATATATATATATATATATATATATATATATAAATATATTCTCATGGATTGTGGACTCTATAACTTTCCTACAGGCTAAATTATATACACTAATTTGGGGTATTTTCTCTAAAGAAATGTAGCAGAATTAATTTTGATCTAAATTTATGAAGAAATGTTATTTATTTGCAAAATTTTATAACCGAAACGAAGAAAATGCACTTTGTTTTTTTCAAAAGATTGAGGTTTTTTTTGTTTAGCAAAAAATAAAAAAATCAGTGGTGATTAAATACCACCAAAAGGAGAGCTCTATTTGTGTGAAAAAAAAAAATGATACAAATTTTTTATGAGTACAGGGTTGCATGACCGCACAATTGTAATTCAAAATGTGACAACACCGAAAGCTGAAAATTTGGCCTGGCAGGAAGGGGGTAAAAGTGCCTGGTATTGAAGTGGTAACGCTCATATATTTAAGAAACTAAAGCTAATAAATTGTGTTTACTTAATAACATGACCACAGCTAATCCATCTACACTCATCAAGTCCCTTGGGCTCATTCCATAGGGATCTATCAGGTACCTTCTTTTAAAATATCAAACTTCCTTTCTGTTCCCAAACTATGTTATACATGACGTTTCATAAATTAGCAGTAGATTGCTTATGTCCAAATGCTTCTGTCATAATTTTGCATTTTGTAATACATCAATAAGAAACTAAACCTAATATATTGCGTTAACTTTGTAGCACAATCAGGGCTAATCCATCCCACAGTCGTGAATAATTTTGCATTAATTGTGTCGGCTTTTTAGCAAACCTCGGACTAATGCCTCCCACCATGGTAAAACCCACTAGAATTCTTTTCAT